GTTCCTGCGCATCCGATTACCACAGCATCCATATCTGGTCAGAGCTCGAAGCATGCCGTTGGGCATGTCCCCGAAGACTTCCTCAACCCTTGCAAGGACAAGGACTGGCTGTTTCAGTGAGAAAAACTTTCCAAACCCACATGTCAGAAATTATTGCAGAAGAAAAACCGTTTTGAATCGCTGCAATTCGGCAAGAGCATGCTCAAAAAAATGATTTCTTTGACGTGCATTGCAGGGACTCCTCATATCTGTGCGAATGCTGAAAGTGCTAGGACTTTCTCTCATATAGCACTGCGCGCCGATAATTTGGCGCGCGCTTGCGGTCCGGCCGAGCGCTTGTGTTACTGTTGTGACTGATCGCAGTTGTTCCTTTTTAGTCTTGGTGTTATTGCCCATCTGTTGCTGAATTTTAAACTGAATCCTGTACACGGGCGTGCGAAAGGGAATGTCTTGAGGTCATGAGGTGCGGTGCAGAACGCTATCTCAACTTGTTCATGCCAGAGTCAAAGCCCGGGAACATGTCACAACAAGATCCGCCTTCCCCATTTCGACGCTGTCAAAAACCAGGTTGCAACAGGATGTGCAGTTTAATAGCTTAATGGAGAGCAGCTTGCCGAAAATCACAAGAAGAAGTCTAAATCACAGGGAGACGCACCAATCTTTGCAATCACGGAAGGCTGAGGGGGGAGGATGATGTCACGCCAGACGAAGGCTACCTTGACAAACGGCTATGCTGCGAGCGATGCGCGAGCGAAAACCCCGGCAATTCCGCTTGACCCAAAGCGGTCACGCCGATTGATCCCCTTCCCCCTTGTGAATCTGCACTGCCGGGCGTTGAGGCATATGGGGCTGGTGCTTTGCGTTTCGGGCATAACTAAGTCGCCTTCATCTGCGCAAACGCAACTAAGAATTGTTATACCTCGGGGTTGCCCTGTATCTGTTCATGAGGTTCTGGCCACAGGGAAATGCCAGGATAACATTTCGCTTCTAATCCTGAATGAGTTGGAATCGGCTTCGTGAGGACTTGCTGAAGCGCTGCGGATGGTATCCGGAGTCTTTCAAATTTGCTAAGGCTCCAGGAAGACAGCGTCCACACCATCCATCTGCTCTGCACGAATGGTGGCATTGCCTGAGCTGCGAAGTTGAAACTCCGATCAGGTAGATGTTGCATGCGTCAAGACAGGGACTGCCAGGTTGTTCCAGTGCTGTAACGTTTGGGAAAAATTCTACGGGCCTGAAGGCTTGAGGTGATAAAGCTCGAACAATGGCGGCGCAATCTGAGTTTCGTCACGGTACATGGTACATGCTGCTACAGTTGAAGCTTGAACATCTGTCAGCATGATCTTGATCTTGCGGCGCCCCTACTCGTGTCTACAGCTGCAGTCATTTCCACTTCCACTGATCATCCAAGGTCGCAGACCGGGGATGCTGGAAGACTTGATTCGTCTGGAGTTCATAATCAATTCGTTAAGCTCCAACTGTTCATGCTTCATGTCTGCCTGTGGAATTTCGGAAGGACCGCTCTCAGCTTTCATGCTTGTATTTCAACCTGCCGTCCAAATCAAGCAGGAAAGAGAAGAAGCTTAGCAGGAAGTGCATGGTAAACTGGCATGGATATGCATAGATTCAATCTAGTTCCCAATAGCACCAGATATGTGGGCCAAGGCATTTCTCACATAATCGAGGCCCCGCCACTCGACTCCAGCTGTGCACCACAGCCCAATGCCTTCTGCCAGCAGGGTCCATTGGCGTACTGGCTGACGTGGGTCACGCGGTCCTGGCCAAAAAAGTCAAGCACTGACAGGAATGTGAGTACCCGACGCCGGAGCCCTGTACAATATGTTGGTGTGCTATGTCCGAGCTTGGATTGATGACGTGTGGCTAGATCTTATTGCAACTGGACTTACCACCATTCGCAACTGCAAGGTCCGCATTTGTCTGGAACACTTCGGTAGCATATCAGCACAAAGCCCGCCTGCACTCCGAGACGTCGCAGAAAAGCCAAGGAGGTCGTGCCGCCGGGGATCACACGCTGCAGTGGGACTGTGAAGAACTTTCGCTGGTAGCCTGCACAGAAGCCAAATTCATGGCATGAAAGCAAATCTTGATCGAGCTCACACGGTTGGCTTTCAATCCTGTCCATCCTGTTCGATGTACTGCTGTAGCTGCGAAGCTTAATGGCTGGAAGCGAGGCAAGTCCTACGCCTCCACGCCGCAAAATGGCAAAATGCTCAGCACTGCCTAAGGCAGTGATCTAAGCAAATCAGACTCAATACCAGGCTCAACTATTGGCTCCTGGGCAAAACATCATGGCGAATTACTCTCACTGCGATATCCAGGTCATTCGATTCTCCTGGCAAGGAGTTCCAGACCCTGCTTGCAATGATACATGACATGAAATTCTTTGCAGCAACGTGGATCTACATGTCCCCTGGAGTCTCCTTGTGGGGGCAGGCCTTCTCCGGCATCTCAGTGATTAAGCCCTTTTCCATTGCAGCCAGCCAATAAGTAACCTTGGAGCCAGGATCACACACAGGCCCGAAGTCTGGCGTAACATGGACGTAGGTGTGCGTGCCGTCCTCCGGCTTCCTAACGTCAAAGTTCATGTCCTCCTTGCCTGGCTCTCCATTAACACTGTAGTGTACGGCAATCATGCTCACGTCCCCTGGGTTGGAAGGCGTCACAGAGAATTTCACCCTGCTTTTGCCTGCTGCGTCCTTTACGAGCTCGAGGGTATGAGGGAACTTGCCATCCACAAAATGGCCCGAAGGTGGTGCTGATGGCCCAAAGCTTTCTGGGAACTCGCCCATGACAAACGCTTGCGCCTCTCCCTCAGCCATTCCCTTGTTCTCCATAAGCCACTGGGCCCGGTTCTTCGCGGGAGCCCCATCACAAATGGCTCCAGGTCTCCACGTCAGCGGATCTGGGAAAGCCAGGAAAACAGGATCGTGCTTGTCTTCCTTTACACGGGCGTCGCCCATGTGGAAGGTGTGTTTTTTCTCACCTGCAATCCCCAAACATGGGTGCCGTAATCACCGACATGGCTAAACATCGGTCAGCCCGTAAGCCACGGGAATCTTGAAGCTCATGATAGGAGACCCATCTACAATCAGAAACGCGGGGAGCAGAATTCCAGAATCGCAGGCTTCCCTTTACTTTTTGGTGTTACACTGTGGGAATCACAGGCGATGCGGACCCATTTTAGATGTTGAGAGTCGCACTATGGTTTTCATTCAGTTGAACCTGACCTGTTTCCCAAAAGCTGTGCACGGGTTGTAGCAAGCCCTTCTTGTCATCTCCCAAAGGGTACGCATAGAAGAGCGGATTCTTGCCCTTCTCCTCACCGGGCCATGGTTCTCCGAAGTGGAAGGTGTGCTCTGAGTCCTTGGCATTCCAGTAGTCGAAGACAGGCTCTGTGCCTGGCACCTGCTGCTGAAATGCGTAGAACACAACGTCTTTCTTCTCTTCCTGTGGCCACGGGTCCCCGGTGTGGAAGGTGTGCTCCCCGATCTCCACGTTCTTGTACTCGAAGATTGGAACCGCCATTGGTATAAGGAGGGGACAGCTACGCTATGGCCAAGACGTCTTGCATTCAAGAGCCAGCTGTCAGCAGTGTAGGACCCATCTTACTCTGCAGATCAGCACCGCACAAATTTGCATCTGCTGAACGACAGTGGAAAGCTGCAGCTGACTGCATTGGCTTACCCCATCAGCCTGATACCCTTGCTATGTGATCCCTTTCTAAATCTGCATGGCTTTTGGGCCTGTGCCAAGTGGTGCAACAGCATCCAACTCCTGTGCACACACCACAGGCACTCACGCATTTCCAGCAATGTTGCAATGCCTTGGCATGCATCAGGCACGGTCCTCTGTTGTGGGCTGGCTCATCCCACACTGTGTAAGCACATACTGCCTCGTTCAAGCAAAAGCTCACTGTCCCTGCACTGCATGTGGACATGTAGAGGCTTGATCCTGAGTGTCGCACTCTTTGGACAGGGTCTCCGTCACAATCTTGAAGCTCTGGCCGTAGCTAATTGACCTGGGAAGCTACATGCGACATGAAAAAGCTGTCTCTTTGTAAGTGTCTCATGGCTTCACCGTAAAATGAGAAACATCACAGAGCTTTCAAACGGATACATCTAAAAAAGTGGAGGCGTCTGAATTTCTGAACCTATAAGAATATCTTTCAACCTTTGCTAGTACGATGATTATAGCATTCTTCGTTATGCTTGCCTGTAAGAAATGAAACAGATCTTCGTTTCTCCTATCATCTGCCCTTTTCCACGTGGTGTGTTCGATCAAGAATCAACTATAGACTTTATTGGAACAACCTTCATGAGTCAATTATGGTGAAGCGAAAGCAGGTCAAATAAAGCAGCACTTCATACGTAATCCTATTTCCACCTGTACCAACCACTGGCAAATCCAATAGCCCGGTGGCATCAGATTTGCAGCCTGCACATCAGCTTCCGCTGACGTCACCGCAGCAGAAGGCGTGGTACCAATCCGAGATGCTTCTGGAAAGAGCCTGACACAGACTGATTCGAGTGCTGGTGAGTACACTTCTTAACAAGATGACGAGGGCTCAGAAGTCCGTTCAACAGCGCTGGCCGAAGGTTCGGAGAGAGCGCACTGCGCTTGCAATGAACATCCCTAAAGATGTGGCCGCTCCTTGCATGTACCTTTTGTTTGCAACTGCAGCCACGGCACACGACATTGCTGTTGACCGTGGCACTATCCACGCACTCTCCAACAGACACCTGAGCATTGACAGGGAGCCTTCTCTTGCTTGCTGTGTGCAGGAGGGGGTCGTTTGCATAACATTCTGTGAAAGATGGCTCGGGGTTCAACTCCAAGCATAGCTGGTTACGACGCTGTTCTGTCTTTCCGAGATAGCATGGCCTCTTTCCAAGATAGCATGGCCACAAATCTGTTCAACTCTAGGCAAAAGCAAGATGCTCGCTCATTCAGCGACAGGATGGAGGCATGGGTGCTCTCCAGGCCCATCAGCAAGGCGATTGGGAGTGCCAGCATCATGTCTGTGGGCCTCAGACTTCCGATAGCGAATCCGCATGAATCCACATCCCGTCCCTGCCCTGCAGATCTGCCCAGTGCCAGAGGGGCAGGCAGCTTCGCGTTCGAGAAGGCCACAGAGCAGGCAAAGCAGGAAGCAGAAAGCTCTTGAGCCAGCAGCCGAGGCCCAGCATAGCGCACTTTCAAGGCTGTGCACGAAAGATGCAACCCTACCAAAAGCACATCCATCACCAGCCATCACGTGAAACACTGCGTGCATTCAACAAGTTACAGGAATGCACCTCGCACCCAGTAAAGAACAAAACTACTGTTGAAGCATGCCCGGCCCTGCCTAAAATCACAGCGAGTGCCACGATGCAGATGCCGAGGCCTTGCCTCAGAAATCTCCATAGCTCGGGTCTAGCCCTTCGATCTCCACCCTGCGCCACTCCAACTATCCTATCTGGGCTGGATTAAAGGAACCCGCTCAACCTCTCTGGCTAGCATTTTTCAGATCCCCTTTTCCCTGGGTGAGGTCACTTCATTTCCAGAAAGGCAGCGGGTTGTGGAAAACGTCTCCGGAGATGTGCCT